TGAAATCAGGGCTTTAGCTTTTCTGTCTACTATAGCCCTACCTACCTATCAGACACCAGAATAAAGGTGGATTGCTGAGTTGTAATTCATACTTAAAACGGGCCTTACAAATCTCAAATGAAACCTACTTCATGACAAAGCAATGCGCTATTTTATTAATAAAAATAAATGTAAAATGTAAATTAAATCACATAACCACAAGTGACCTACTTTCCTAGACAGCCACATCAAGAGTAGGCATGTTCGTTGCCCACTCACCATGGCAAAACACATTCGGCCACTCTTAGGCATACAAGTGGACTTACGTGCCTACATGCAGTTCTATTTCACCCTGTTCAAGTGCCTGAAAATCCCTTTACACATGTATTTTTGCAACATGCCATCATCTGACTCTTATGAATAAGTCACAAAAAAGGAGTGGGGAGGAGACTCAAGCAGGGTGGAAGAGAATTGCATTGAAGCTCCTGAGTTTACCTACACAGTTAATAGGGCTATGTTCTATTTGACCCTTGTGGCACTTGTCTGTCTATTCTGGTCAGGAAGGAAAAGTCTATTGCCAGCTTCATAAGAAATTAGGAGATGAACAAGTGAATAGGAACAGTAGCTAAACAAATTAACTACAACTGACTGAGTTTCCTTATTAAAAGACAAAGGCACCATTTTATTTCTATCAGCTTCTTTTAAGGATGAGACTTTCCAATTTTTTGAATTAAGGTAACAGGAAACAAGAGTGTTATTTATACAAGTTACTACATATGCAGTTTCAGTGACTCAGCTGTTTTAATGAAAACAGAACCCATGTTAGTGCATGTATACATCCATACCTATATATGTGTTTTTAAAGGGATTTAACTGCAAATTGCCAATCAATTTTTAGGTTTGGATTTTCAAAAGAGCTTATTGCTATGTTATCACAAGTACTTACATGGCATCTCCACAATCATTCATGTGTACAGCCTTCCACTACTTCTGGAAGATAGGGAATCAGGACACAAATAGACAAAGGACCAGATTCTCTTTACATTTTACATATGTAGACTGTGGGTATGTAGCCATGTGACTGCACATTTTGCACTTACACAAAGGTTGGACTCTATTCCCCCTGCAGGGAAATACGTTTGTCCCACATATATACCTGCTAAAAATAAAATGAAGCCTAGTGGTGAGGGCATTTGCCCAGAGAGGAGAACACCAGGATTTTAGGTCTTCCTCACCCAGAGGAGTTTGAGCCTGTAGCCCTCTTGCAGCTATCTCACTGCCCTTTTCCTTTAATATTCATTGGATAAAAAACACTAGGAAAATTCTTACCCTATTGGGAACAGGGGGCAAGGATAGAATGTAGAGGCTAAGCCACTTCCTGTCAAGATCAGCATTTATTTCACTGGACCACCCTTCCTCTGCTTGGTTTGCTGCCTTCTGGCTCCACATATCACTCTCCCTTGGCTGCCCAGTGCTAAGAGGGAGGCTGGAAAGGCTTGTGCTTGTTTTTTATGGTCTAGTTGTTAGAGCTTTTAGCAGAGAAGTAGTTTTGAACCCTTCCTGTATGAGGGGTGGTCTCATGCTAGCTGGATATGTATCCTAACTACTAGGCCAGTGGTTCTCAACCTTTTTTAGACTCAAGGCACCTCTTCGAAAAAGCCAGCTCACAGTTTTCATTTTTTGACTACTGAAAAATAACAGAGCAATTCTTTTATTGCAAAGAACTCAGAAAGACCACAACACATCAGAAGGTTTTCAACCTGATGTGAAATCTCTGAATCTATCTTGTGAATCATATTTATACATCTAACAGTGCTAACATTGAGTGGCAACCCATGGAACCCCTAAAACAATCTCAAGGTAGGTGGGGGTGTCTCTGCACCCTGGCTGAGAATCACTGTATGAGTCTATTGGGCTAAAACTGTGGGGGGCCAACTTCTTTGGCAGGGATGCTACAAGATAAGTTCTGTACCCTCCCTAAGTGCTATTCTACCCCCTCCACCTGCAATCTGTGCTCTGTTTTCTGCTCTTTGTCTTATTTGCCATTGTGTTCCTTGCTTTCTCCCCAGTCTGCTGCATGCTACACAGAGGCTGCCCATGCCACTTGGTGCCTGTGCCCAGACATACAATTGGTCCAATAAAAGATATCATAAAAAAATCCTTGCCTTTTGCGTAATTCCTAGACCATCAGGCTACAACATCATTTCTCCAACACTACCATGCCACTTGTGGCACACGTGGTGTGAGTTGGCCACACCTGAGCTAAAAGAGGAGCATGCGCCCTTCTGCTACTCATGGCCTTGCGTGAGTGTCTGGTCAATTTTATTTCCCTTGGGCAGCTACCTGGGTAGAGGACAGTCCTACTGAGCATACCCAGTAGGGCAGCATAGGCAATGCTAAAGTCAAACTAGGAATACATGTCAACAATTGCAGGTCCATAGCTACATACCTGTCACAAGAGGACACGAAAGGTTAAAGAGGATCTGGTCCTCACTAACTTACCCAAGATCATATTGGCAGTTTATAACAGGATAGGAAATGAAACCCAGGTGCCAGGTTATGGTCTGAACAATTTGCCTTACATTTCAATATGAATTGGACTCTTCATTCCTTTTGGCTCTGCTGGAAACTCCAGTGCTAATGCTCATGAAAGTGAGATTAATACCAGGTAACTGACACTATACAAACTTTCTTCCCACCTCTGCCAGTGCAGCAAGTGCCAGAGCATTATGAGCCTGAGAGGAATTCTACCAGAAAAAATATTCTGTGCAGGGGGAGCATATGGTATTGTTTGGATGAATTACAAGTCACTGAGGCTAGGGACAGACATTCAAAAAGCCTGAGCCTGAATTGATTCAATCTTTGCAGGTTAGTCTAATCTGGCTAGACAAAATCAGTCTTGTAACCAGACAGACATCCCAGAAATGTAGGCACATGCCTGCAGTGACTCAGGCTAGAAGCTGGGGGCGCTAGAGCAGCCCTCCCTACCTTCCACAGCATGGAGCCGAGCGGGGTGTGGCCAGGCTCTGATTAGCCCAGCAGGGAATTGATAACAGTATTTAATCACCCAATTAAGAAAACATTACCAGCTACTTGTTGATTCTACCTGTTGCTTCAGGACCATAGCCAGCATGTGGTTTGCTAGCTAATACATAGACATCTCCTCAGCAAGGCAGAGGGGAGGGGGGAATTCCTGCTTAGCAGGGAGTGGTGAGGGGCGTGGGGAAGCAGCATGCAGTTTCTGAAGCTTCAGCCAGGGAGCAGAGAGGAGGGACCAGCCCTGCTGTGGGGCAGAGAGTCCTGCCCTGCCCAGAGAGCATTCCAGCAATTGGTTTGAGCTAATTCAGTTAAGTCTGATACTACATGCAACCAGGTTTATCTCAAACCAGTTTCAGCCATTCTCAAACTGGCTTATACGCACTGAACATCTGTTCTGTTACAGGTTTAAACCAGTTTCTGATCACTTAAACTGGTTTATGTGTAATGCCTGTCCCTAGCCTGAAGCACTATGAGCAGCAGTTATAACACTATGGCAAGCTATTGAAGCAATCTGGCAGAGGAGATATACCAGAGGATTAAGAACTGCCTACTTGAAGCATAAAAAAAATATACTTGAGCTAATTCTGGGTTTGCAGCCAGTAATTTGCAACAACAAAGCTTTTCTTGGAAAAATCACTGGCACCAAAATCCATTGCTTTTCCACCCAGGCTTTCTTCCCTCCAAAACTGCTGTTAAGGCCAGACAATTAGAAAGGTCAGTTTGTGCTCTATTCGACCCCAGTGTTAATACTCTCACTCTGTGAGAAGCTGATTAATGCAAATGACAAAGATGGAAGTAAGTGAAGTATGTAGCTATTTCCCAGGGCAGCAATAAGGAGCAGGATCATATGTACAGTTTAGGTTTAATCATTGTGACAGTCTTAAGCCTGTGATGACACAGAGATCCTTATATTCCATTTGAGAAACTATGATGCACAAATTGTTTATGAATATTTGTGTCTGTGATGGTCTGCATGAGTCAAAAGGTATTTTTGGCTCCTAACATTTTACTCAGACTGAAAATTATGGAAAATAACTTGAGAGAAAAGTGTTTGAAGCATGTCAGCCCAGGCACTCCAGAGCCAGGTTCAGTTCCCATGTATGTAAGGCACTCTAGGAAAGTGAGAGCAGATTCAGACTTGTCCGTCTTTCTTAAGAACAGATTTTGGCAGAAGTAGCATCAGTCTGAGCTTCTTCATGCTGCCACTTTACCCACACCCAGGTGGGGCTTTAGCGGCAGGTGACAGTAATTCCTGGCCTAAAGGTGACATGAGTGACAACTCTTAGGAATCTTTTTCATTTTTGACTGCGGTCATCTGCCCACTAGGAACTGCATCAATCCATTTCCCACAAACCAATAAACAAACTCCTCATATAGTAACTACGTTGAGTCACACCTGACCAAGACTGCATTTGGTTGGGTAACCTGAAGGTTAAAGCCTCCACTTCACCTTGTATTAGCAATTATGGGTGCCAGGGGCCCTCTCATAAGAGAGCATTCACACTTCTTTGATCCATGACTTGGGCAGTTCAGGAAGCTTTATGAGCATAGGGAAAGGCCTGGCTTTCAGGCAGCACCTTCAAAAACTGGTATAGTGCACAGCAATTGGAATTCTACATCTACAGCTAAGGAAAAAGAAGAACAAGAAATGGCATTGGAACACCTGCCAAAGGCTTGATCCAACTTTATTTCTAAATCTAGGCAAAGCAAAAATAAGGCAAGATTTTTCTCTTTGCAGTGACCTTTCCAATAAAGACTCCCTTGTTAAGGCTCCCTTTAACTGACCCCTATTCTCCAAAGCATAATGGTGTCCTCACACTGTTCAAGCAAACTGAGCTGTGTGGAAGTTTTTGAACCCTTGGAGGAACTTACCTCCCAAAGTGTCCCATAAATTGAAATGCATCAAACCTGCTCTGAGCAGCCAGAGGAGCACTGCCAATGTGCCCTGTCAGACAGAGGCAATAAAGGAGAGGTGGTGATACCTTGCATTGGGATCTCCATGGCTGTGTGATGCTTCATGAGCTGCCTGTCTTCCACTTCACTATCAGATCCCTCATCTTCTTGAATTTCTATGTCGGAGTCATCGTTACCTGGTTAAAAAAAAAGGAATCCAAAGCACTTCATTAATATCAGAAAGTAGGACTGGAATAGACATCTCAGGCCAGTGAGTCCAGACCCCTGCATTTGCAGGCAACAAAGAGTCCTAAAAAAACAGTCTACTCCAGTCCCTTGCACATCACAGCCACAGAGCACTTGTTACACATGTGCAGAATGAAACCCACAATATGTCACAGGTAAAAAGCAGGGAAAACAAGGAAAAAACCCTCATAGCAATTCACAAATGTGGCAGAGTCAGCCACAATTATAAGCTTCCTTGTAATCACCCAGAACAAAAGCAGGACACTGATGAAACAGGGAGTGGGATATGTGGAACCAGAGCTCTCCCGGCTGCAGTGCTGGGGAACAGCCAACAGCCCTAAAAGAGGGTACCATTATAAGCAGCAGTATCAAAGAAAATGAAATGAACAGGAACTGCAAGACAAAAGCCCTGAGACAATTCTCAGACTGTATTATAAAGGCAATGTTCTATATATATATTCTCCAGGTATGAATCATATTAGCCTACAGTCAGATGGTGCTATTTTGGCAATGGATTATAGAATAAAAATCTCATAAAAGGTTTTGAAAAGTGTGGACCTTATTAATGTTCCCTATTCTGAACGTGTCTTCTAGGCTTTCAGTCTGATAACAACAATACCAAAATGTACCCCGGGAAACTATCTTACATTTACTTGAGGATTAAGAGTATGCTGTGATATCCTCATGTGATTGAAGGAGTGGTGGTTGAACTTTAACGTGTTTGGTGAGACAGAAGAGCTCCCAAAGTCCAGGTACTTTTCTAAATACTTTCAAATTTCCATTACCCATCTCCCCACTTTTTTCTTCCCATGCTACTTAGATGACCTGGCCCCCAGCCAGCCAGTTGAACCAAACCATGCTCTCTTGAACTTCAGATGGATCTGCAGCCTCTAGCTCCTTCTGTCCAATCCCAATATGTTCTCTGACTCAGAATCCCAACTGCCAACAGGCTTCCGCCTAAAAGATCTCTCCCAGACCTTTTAAAATATTCCACAGGTTTATTGTGCTCCAGTCAGATCTTTCCTGCTCCAGTGATTTTTTCAGTCCAAAGCTGAACTGGACTTTCAGTCCAAAGCTGAAACTGGAGTCTGGATGGATTCTGACATTATCCTGAGGCTCTGTTTAGGTTGCTGTATTCAAATATCTATTGGAAGCTGGATGACGATAAAGAGGCACCGATCCCACCTTGTGGTACCTTGCCATGGATGACTCAGCCACTTCCCTTCATTTTCTCATAACCTGCTCTGATGATGGTCCAGCCAGGGTTAAGAGAAGGGTGAGGGTTAGGCTCTATTCTCCTCAGGTCCCTTTCCCATGATAGTACCTCTTTCTTTTTGCCATTTCATGTCACATCCTCCTGTACATCTGTCTGGAGATAGACTAAACTCCTTTTGTGCCTACCCTTTTCTCATTCAGGACTGACTTCATTGCAAGTGTAAAGTCTGCTGTCTAAGTTACTAGGTGTTTTTTTTTCTTTCCTCAAAAATGCAATTTATGGGCCAGGTACTCAGGTGATGCAAACTGATGTCAATCTCTTCACTTAAACTGAGATAAATCAATGTAGTCCCGATAGTTTAAAAAATTGTGCTTCTGGCAACAGTGCCTGAAGGTAAATGTGAATACTTATGCTAACCCTCTCAGTCAACAAAACTGTCATAAACACAAAAGCACTCAGCATAAGGGTTTTAGCCTTTGCAAGTATGCATTTTAGAAACAAATGCAAATCATTTTAGTGGCAATAAGTAATTCTTTTCAGGGTAGATTTAATTACCAAAGTACCATTGTAGAAAATGGAACTAATCCCCTTTAATTATGATTAGAGGTAAGCTGACAGTACCTTATGACTTTTTAATCACAGGTAAATGCATACATGCTGGGCAGCTTTTTCATTGCCTTGTGATTATAATACCAAGTTATTGATAACAATATAATAGGAAGCAAAACATTTAATCCATTGTTCAGTAAAATGATGGGATTGGACAACAGCATTAATTAAATAGATGTTAAGTATATTTGCTGTAACAGCCAAACTTAATACATGTAAATGAAGTATGTATTCCTCTGCCTGATATTTAGCTAGAGCCAAATACTATTTGCAGTTATTTGTATTCATTAGAGTCCAAATTGGCTCAGGGAAATTCCTCAGTAAGAACTTAATGTAAACTAAGTCAGGGTCTCAAGATGTACTGCTCTCTATGACGCAGAGTAGGGCTGGAATGGTTCATGCAGCTGCTGTTAACCTCCAACTTGCTTGCTTTCTAATCTGCTCAGTTGAGCAGCAATTTCTCTTTCAATTTTTTAAAATGCTGTGTGGCCACTGGATGCCCCTGAGGGTTAGCAGCACTGGCCAGAATCAAGGCTACAGCAGACTCACTGGGTGCATCTACACGATATGCTTTACTCGAGATTAGGGCAGTAAGCATCACTCTCTATATGTGCAGATGGTTACTGTGAAGCAATTTACTCTAATTGCAAGACAATTTTCTATCTGCAAATGCAAGTAGAAAATTCATTCTCGATTACTTACTGCGCAGTAGCATATGTGTTGATGCCTGACCAGGAGCAAATGTACTCTGGGTCAGTTGGGCAGCAGGGGGAAGGATATTGCTCCCTGCCTCTGGGAGCTGCCTGCTGCTGGGATGGCTCAGTTGTGGGGCTCCGGCTGGGAGACTCTTCTTTCCCAGCACTAGCTCCACAGTCAGGGGGGCTGGGCTCGGAGATCCTTAACTCCCAGTGCTAGCTCCACAGTCATAGGGCCGGCACTGGGACATCCTTATCTCCCAGTCTGAGTTCCGCAGTCACTGGGCTTGGGCTGGGAGATTTTTCTCTCTCAGCACCAGCTCCGTGGTTGTGAGGCCAGCGCTGGAAGATTCTTTTCTCCCACTGCCGGGCCCTACAACCGCAGAGATCTGGCTGGGAGATAAGGATCTCCCAGCCCCAATCCCACAATTGCAGAGCGGGGGCTGGGAGCTCCCTGCTGCTGGGGCAGGGGGACATTGACCCCGCCTGGGTTCCAGTGGTGGAGCTGGCCCTGGCAGTAGGCAGCTCCCAGGGGCAGAGAAAAATGTCCCAACCCCCACCAGGAGACAGCTGGCTCCTAGCTCATGATCCCTGCCAGCCCCTGGGTTGGCACCCAAGGGAAGCCAGAGCTCCCCCTGGATGCTGCAGGGTCCCAGTGCAGGGCCTCAGGGAGTGGGAGCAACCTGCTGCTAGGAGCAGGAAATCTGTCCCATGTTCCTGCACTGTGTGTTCAGGAGAGTTTCATTACTTTAGAGTAAATTGCTCAATTGCTCCCAGATTATTTGTACATGTAGACAGGTTCACTGTAAATACTCTGTCAATGCACCTAACAGCTGCCTGCTCTTCAGCATCCCCTCTCCTAGTCCAAGGCTCTTGAGAGCAGAGACAGTCAACTGTATACAATATGTGACAGTCCAGTAATATCAACTACTGGAACCATTAGCAGAATTGCTTTCCTAGTAAGAATTCACAATACCAACCCTAGTAAGCACCACTGCTTGTGTGTAGTGCCACACCTGCAGCATGAACAGCTGTGTGTAATGCCACCTACAGCATTAACTCAAGTGCCTCTTGGCATGAAACCATCCAAGTAGTGCAGTAATATCCTATTAGACCCCATCCAAGCAACACTGACTCCTATTGGGTGATGCTTCTCAATTTTACATTCCATTTTCCCCTACCGCATTTATGAAAATTTGTACCAAGGTATGCAATGCATCCTTCCCCAAGGAAAACAGGTCCTAGTGGAAGGGTTAGCAAAGCAAGAAGGGGAAGGGTGATCAACATCTTTACTATATCGACCTTCCAATAGATGCAGTAAAGCTATTCTCAATCCTCCAGCATCCAGTGTCCTCTCTGAGCCTCTATTAGCAGCCTGTGATCCAATACCTGCTTCTGACCATCCTCTTTTTAAAAAGTGAAATGATGAGTATCGAACAGCTCTTCACCAAGCTTTTCTTCTACAAAGTGGGATTGGTACTGGGATCCTAAGGAGAAAAGTGCTTTAGGAACAGGCAAGACACTTGCTGCAGAGTTAATGAGAGGTTAGATGTCTCCAAGCTGCTTCAGAAAGGGCAAGCACTTTAGCGGGGGAGATGATGGTCTAAGTCTTACATTTTCTCCTCTAGTATCTTTCTTTCTCCACCAGCAATTGCCTGCCTTAGTCACCCTCACAATCCCTGCATGGAGTATCTCTGTCATCCCTGCTCATACTAACTTTTTCTCCTCCACTCACTTAAAACATTTTAAAGAATAGCCACAGTCAGTAATGAAGTCGCAGACTTCTGTAATTGAGAGTTTCCACATGAGTATGATGGGATACAAAAGTCTAAACCTGCCAATCAAGGATGCAATGTTTGTGCCTCAATCATACTAGATAGTGGGCATATCTACATGCGCAATTAATATGAAGCAATAAACTCTGGAGTATATTACTTGGGAGTAATATACACTGGGAGTTTATTGCCATTTGAACATGTGCCCAGGAATGGAACACGTTGAGCTGGGTTGCAGCAGCCCTAGCTAGCAGGGGATCTGGTTGGGGGAGGGCAGGGTTTACAAAGCCAGCCAGGGGCTACTCCCCCCAAGGTCAACATGCTGTGGAAAGGCTGGCTGGGACATCCGGGTTCCTCAGTGTGGGGTTAGTTGGCAGGCAGCCCCTGCACTGAAGCACTCTTGTGCCTCAGCCAGCTGGGATAGCATGTACATGTGTGCTGCTGCAGAGCTTTTTACTCCACAGCAGAATAGTACTTGTATTTACAGGCACTATCATGCTGTGGAGTAAATTAGTTTACTCCAGCCTAATAAGGGTGAAAGCGCAGATGCTGAGATATTTACTGGGTGCGTCTACACATGCATTTGATCTGGGATCAGTTTACTTGAGAGTAAACACTCCCAGGTAGGCATCTACACATGGAGGAAAGTGGAAGAA